CGTCTAGAGTATGCACCTCTTTCCCTAGAAAGACAAGCCGTGACAGGCTTGAAAGCTCCGCCACTTCCTCAAATATCCTTTGCAATGCTCATACAACCCGTTGTGCTGCTTGTGCTGTTGGTGTACCCCATACAACTGCAACTGCCTTCTTCATTTGATCAGTACAGCAGTGCAGCCAACATTTTGCCTGGAGATCCGCCAGAGCGAGATCATGAGCAAGTGCTTTGCAATGAGGCACCAGTGTTCCACGAGGAGTTGCGGATGCATTGGCTTGCAAGGGCTGAATCACCGGAGACTCGGTCACGGCCGCCCCCCTCAAGATCAAGAAGAACATGGACCGGTATGCACGACTGTCCGCTCGTCCAGCAACACTCTCTTGAGTCTTGGAACCACCCGGGAAGCCTGTCAACTCTCTTCTGATTCAATGTTTTCCACGTACTGGTGTCGATTGCATTGGTGATGTTCCAGTGATGCATGTCTGGGCTGGAAGGTTCTGAGCAGACAAGCATTGCGGCGAGCTTAACGTGCCATGGTCCGCCAGACAACAGCTTGTCAAACCGCCCGCGCAAAACCGCGACACGTCCTGATTCGAACTCAGCATTGCTTGAGGCATGTGACTGCTGAAGTAAAAACAATTGAAACCAAAGTTGTTGTCTCAAGATTGCCCACTGCGCACCATCCTGGCCTTGGATCTTGCAACAAATTCCCTCCCGACTCCCCGTGCACATCTGTCCTTGCGGCTTCCACCGACCCGCAGCCAATCTATCCCAGCTTCCAGCAATGTTCAAAAATCACAGCACCAATGCTGTTGTCCAGGCGCACAGCAGCTAGCATGCCTTTTTCCTGAAGTGTACGGCCGTCATTCAAAACAATGCAGTGTACTGTGCAAGACGTACTCAAAGTGGTACGGTACGGCCTGAAAACTCGTGCAACCGCCACTGGAGAATCTCGTTATCCAAGTGACGCACCTGGGCTTCGGAAAGACTAGTTAGGGGTTTTGTAGGCCAGGGAACGGTCTCATCAGGAGCGCTAGCAGCGGTGTGGCATCGGCATCTGGGGCTGCTGCAAAAGCAGAAGCAACAGAAACAGGGAAACACCGGATGCAGTACGCTACTGGCCTAGACATCTTCCTTCCTAATAGGACCTTAGTAGAAGTGGTGGTCCTGCTTGCTTCCGCCGTCCTCGTAGCAGAAGTAGCAGTTGTAAGTAGCAGCAGGAGGGAGGGCGAGGAAGCGGCAGCAACAGTAGGAAGAGCAGCAGCAGCAGCTGTAGTAGACGAATGGTAGTATAGCTGTGGTACTTTTTGTACACTGTCCAACACCTTGTTACGCCAAGGACCAAGGCTTCTGCTTGGGAGTGCTTCAAAACTCCATGTGGAAAAGACAACAAAAGTAGCAGCCTGGACCCCAGTTTGCGGGAGCGGCGCTAGACTCGCTAGACTCAAGCAGCTCAAGCATATCCAGCCGTGGAAGGCTCAACTTCATGCACCTCTCCAGGGCGCCAGGTCTGATCGAACCAAGCCTGCCCTGGTCCGTAGAGGCGCAGGCAGCCCCACCACATCTTTCCGGCCACCGTCTGAATCCAATTTCCTTCGCAGCCCGCTGGCGCAGAAGGTGCAAACCAGATCGTCGTGGAGCCGTCCGGGTTCTGCTTCATGTCAGTGTGGGATTTCGAGTTTCGGCAGGGAAAGAGCTGACTGGTCTTCAGCATGGAACGTGTCATCGTGTCGTAGACGACCACGGACCAGAAGTCCTTAACGGGCACATTGGGCGGCAGCTTGAGGCTGTAGACCTTTGCTCCGTCCAAATATTGGTGCTTGGCATCCTTGCACACCAACGCATATTGCGACCCACGATCCACCATCTTCATGACCATTGCCGGGGTGTTGCCCGTGGCGAAGTAGAAGAACCTCGTCCTGGCATCTGCATTCCGGCCCCCAGCTCCATCCTCCACCAGCCAGCGGTAGTCGCCCCCATCGAAAGCCGTCACCCATTCGCTGCTTTCATCATAGATCCGAGCAGTTTTAGAACGGGGAGCAAAGGAGAGAGCACGGGAGGTGGCGTTGCCAATCGCGGCCGCTTCTGTGAGCAAGGATTTCATCCGCTGGTCTGGCTTGAAAGCCCGGCCTTTCATAATGCCGATGGCCGTCAAATTTCCGCGGAGTTCGGGCTCCAGGAAGTCGACAGGCTCGTACTGAATCACAGCGTTCAGCTCCTCGTAAAACTCAAAATTGTTCGAGTGGATCGTGTTCATGATCTTGCCGGTGCAGTTGATCACCTCCATCTTCGGAGGGCTGCTGGCTTTGGACAGAGGATACACCTTTAATCCCTCACGCCACATCTGAGCAGCATGATCAGGCTTGCCATCTTTCAGAAAACCTCTGAGCGCAATCCAGTTCGTGAAGGAAGTCGATTTTGCTACGAAGTAGCCCTCGGGAGCTGTGCCATCGTAGCCGGGTGGCAGGTAGAGATACTTCCCCCCTGCACCTCGATCGGGCCCGGGAGCACCCATGTCGCCGACATAGCGAAAGAAGGCGTCGTTCACCAGACCTGGACCTGCCCCTGCAGGAACTTCGATGACGGTCGGCCCGTCGCGATTGAGATCCATGAGTCCCATGGCATAAACTGTGTCCGTGTTGCCTGTGAGAAATAAAGACCGGCAGTCCATGAGGCCTTCCATAAGCAAGATCTTGTGGCAGGCATCCACTCCGACTTTCACCATGTTGTTCCGCAGCGCTTCCAACGAGGCCATTGGCACCATGTCCAGGAAAGCACTAACACCCCTCGACCGATCCAGGTTGTCATACACCTTTTGGACGGTTGCGTCGTCCGGAAGGCCGTCCACGAAGGTCAGCTTGCCAAGGCTGGTATCGTACTCATCCTTGGTCGTGATCGACACCGGCACTGCTCCTAGATCTGGCGCACTCATGTTGGATGCGAGCACACGGCGCTGTTTGAGTAGAACTGGCTGATCCACAAAGGCACAAAACAAGCTCTGGCAGTCCGGCGCCTGAAGTTGTCAAGCAGTCGAAACAGCGTGACAGTCAAACTGAAGGCAGTGCTGGAGGAGATGCCTGCACATGCGAGATAGCACCTGAATGCTAAGGCCCGCTCCCAAGGTATCATCCACGGCCTGCCTGGGAAGTCATTGCACGGGTCTGCATTTGGGCATGACCCGGAGGATACGCGCGGTGTTCACTACGACTTGGCGATGCCGTTGCGGACTCCAAGCCGTTCACCCGAAAGCCGAAGGTCAGCTGTCCAAGTCAGAAAGTGAAATCTCAGATATTGCTTTCAAGACCTCCATGATATATCAAACTGTTTTCGCATCAAAATTGGGCAGCAATCGCAGAGCTTGAACTTGTCTCTATGTGTCATATCTGTATAACTATATAACCTTACTCGCATGCACACTTCGGCCGCTCAAAGACTCAAGTGTGCCATGGACTGGATAGCATGCCGCTTACAAGCGGCGTCATCAAGCAAACCCACTTACCGACCGACTGAAGTACGGCTCACATCTACCGGCGCGAACCACTGCACATCGCCAAACTTCCGACCATCCTGTGCATGGGCAAATGCCGACGCCCAAACTTTTGAATGGCGCAAAACTGTGGAATGCTGAGGCTTCCACGAAGGGGCGATCGGAACGTTCAGAACCAGTAGTCGTATCCCGGTGCACGTTGTGTCCAACCTAGTTATCATCTATGCCCTCGTACCTCAATCTTAATTGTAACAAATGTGCAGCAAAACTTTGTGAAAACCTTCAGAAATTTTGAATGGAACCCCACCAGCGAACAACAAACAATGAGGGACCATGAGGTCTTGCACTGTATGAAACAGCCCCAATGAAAAACCGCGAACGGACGGTCAACACGAACAGAACACAGTGCCCGGGCCTGGTTCCCTCGCCATCGGCGTTTCTCTGGAGGCTCCGTAGCTTTAGACGTGGCTGTTTTCGGTGGACAGGCTTGCAGGCTAGAGTTTCATTCATGTGATGGAAAGATGTAAGAAGCTTGCTGAATCGATAGAAGACTGTGCGTCTTGATGAAGAAGGAAACAGCAGATCAATTTTCAACCACAAAATTGCTACACACCATGCCGCTGCAAGCAATCTTCCATGGAACCAACCAACCACGAGTTCGGGTCAACCCCAACATTGGGAACCTCAACCCCAACCCCAGACACAGAATTCGGGGCCCCACGGGTTCGGGGTTCGGGTCAACCCCAACCCCAACCCCGGTTCCGGAGTTGGGGCAAACCCAACCCAACTCCGGATATCCGGGTTCGGGGCTAGCTCCAACCCAACCCCGGGTTCCGGACTCCAACCCTAGAGCCCGAGGTTGCGAAATCACTTTATGAGGTTCTTGCAAAAAGAATAAAAGAAAAAATCAATGAAACAAAACGCAATCACAAGTACAAAAAAGGGAAGCCACACGAAACAAAACTGGACCGAGGTTGGAGTTGAAGTTGAACCTCAGGGAGAGTCTGAACCTTCAAAAACAAAAAACAATCACGAACATAGGCAAAAATTTTTGGGCGTCGGCGCGCCTCGGTAGGCTGCAGCTGCAGCGCTCGGTCCCAAGAAACATTCAAACTCCGCGCAAACACGAAACATGGATGGCCTCTTTTGCTCTGCTGCACGTAAGTGTCCCGAGTAAGCTTCCGCAGAAAAGGCCGTGACTTTGCCAGACCAGTCTGTCTAGGGCAGGAGCTGAAGCTCCAAGTAAACAGTTGACTGCACACTGGAGCCCAAGCACCCCTTTCCGGGCGGGAGGGCGGGATGAAAGAAGCTGCGACAGCAGAGACGTTCTTTCAGCAATCCATGCAAGTCATGGATGGCCTCTTTTGCTCTGCTGCACGTAAGTGTCCCGAGTAAGCTTCCGCAGAAAAGGCCGTGACTTTGCCAGACCGGTCTGTCGAGGGCAGGAGCTGAAGCTCCAAGTAAACAGTTGACTGCACACTGGAGCCTAAGCACCCCTTTCCAACTCTGCCAGGTTTTCATCTGGAGCTGTGCGCAAAATGAAAGGTATTCACGAAATCGACCAGAAAACGGACCGACAGGCCCGACAGTTGCTGTATTTGGAGCCTATGGCTCTCTGCCAGGTCGACCAACAGCAACTGGCCTGCCACATCTTGTAAATAATGTTCAAGAGTTCGCCTCTGCTGCCACCGACCTCGCCACATGATCTTATCCACCTCTTCAGTGCGTTGGTAGAGCCAGGTAGCTCCAGAGCCCCGCAAAGATTTAGGCGTGATGCCCTTCAAATCCTCAGTCACCGGCACGCCTAAGGCGCTGAACAACGCGTTCCAGCGCCGACGGAGCACCGCAGGACTGCAGTCGAAGAGAGGCGAGAGAGGGTGGCAGTGGCCGAAGAGAGCGTCCAAAAATGCCACGGAGAGGGCATCTGAGATGCGAGCGTGCTGTCTCTGCAGGAAACGCTTGGTCTTTGAGCCCAGTATTCGAACAAAGGCCACCGGAACATCAGTGAGCAGATCTCGCGGTAAAATCAAATCTCTGCGGCGTAGCTTCAAAATCTCACTGGGCCGCAGCAGTGCGTGAAAGCCCAGTAGCAGAAACCCTGTGAAGTGAGGCCAGCGCCACAAAAGAGACAGCGTTACTGCCGCGCGAAGCAAAGATTCCGGCATCACCATCGAACGTTCACCAGGCTCTTCTTCTTCCCAGCGAGACAGAATGCCCCAAGCAGCAGCAAAGTGAGCGCGCAGATGCTTAAATTGGTCAGAAACCGCGTTGATGCTCTCTGAAAAGACATACTTCGGCTGCCCTGAATAAAACAAGCTCTTACCGTAGCCCACTAAAGCAGTGCTCAACAAAAGGCCCGAGGCACAAACTTGAGCAAACTCGCAGTGCAGCTCCTCTTCGATCCATCGGCAAAACTTCCTATACAGCTCATGGCGACGGCTCGCCACCACAGGAGTGAGGCCTGCAGCGGGGTCCAGATTGACGTGCGCTCGGGAGGCTTGGTTTGCCTTCCGTCGGCGCGGCATCCCACGAGAGAGCTAAGAGGAGCACAGCAAAACGGCTCCAGCCCGAAAGAGGCCAGAGACGGTCGTCGGCAGCTCGAACCAGGTCAAAGTACTTGTGCCGCCCAGCTAGGAAAAGCCTGAGCCAGACTGGCTGTTCCGCTGGAGCTGTTCTCAGCTCGCGAAGTCGGGATGGATCATCCGAAACATTGTCGCCGGTGCCTATATGAAAGAGAGCAGGAAAAAGCTCACCGCCCAAAATGAAAGGCAGACTAGTGCTCAAATAGTAATTCAGCTTCATGCTGCTGCTCCTTCCTTTTGCATTGCAACCGATTGTCACTCTGCTGTCCAGTAAAACACCAAATCTCGAAACAGGATGTACGGAAGACAAGTGTCGAAAGAGGCTACGCAAACAGAGCTCCTCATTTATGTTAATGTGGTTCTGCTTCCGAAAACGGTATTGAAGCAGCTTCTTCCAACCCAGGCATGTACCCAAATCCCCAATCCAGCGAGCAGGCTGATGAGCTGGGCGGCGGAGCATGTCACCGGCAGTCTGCAATGCACGAATCCTGGGCGCCTGTATTGTAAGTGCCTGATAAAGGGCAGGCAGGGGACACTGTTGGCTGTATGTACGCACAAGCTCCCCTACGGCGGGAACCCTGCCAAAACCGTACAAGCATCAGGACGGCAAAGTCCCATGAACAACTGGATGTTATCATGAGTCAGAGCTGGCTCCATCCGAAGGTGGCGACCTTTTAGCGGACACGTGCAATCACCTTCCAGCTGTCGAAGCTCAGGATTGTTGGCCAGCCAATGGGTGGCTCCGTGAAAAGGAGAGCCAAACGAACAAGCACAAAAGCGAACTTTGCTGAAGCCCGTGCGCAAAAGTTTCCTGAAGCTCCCAAGCCTGAACATCACTGAGTTAACAGGTTGCTCAACGGAGGCCAAAATCCCATAGGCGGCACAAAGGTGGAGGATAAATGCCAAACGTGCCGCGAACCTGTTCCCCTCCAAGGTCTGAGCTTCTCGGGGGTCCAAACCCCAAGGAGCTGCACGACTTCGCAGTTTCGGCTTCACCGCGCTGCCAAAGGATCTGCAACCCGGAGATATATGAACGTATGCAATCACCCGGCGGCAGATGAGGCCTACAATATGATGCATAGGTTGCGATTGTAGAAGATCACCTTGAATAGCATCGCGGAGATTGAACCCTTTGTGCACGCGAAGCCCTACTCGAGAGGCCGCGAGGGAGAGCGCATTCGCCCCCTGGAAGATCTCGCAAACATCGAACAGAATCCCCTCAGCCAGACTCCCTGGAAGCTTATGCGGAACCGAAGCAATGAACTCTTGATGCATCTCAAGGTAGCTCGAAATAGCAGGCTGCAACATAGTGTGATGACCCTTGTAGTCAGCATGCCGTAACAGCTCGAGAACCGCTTCCCTGGGCATCCGAGCTTCACATACCCCCGCTGCAAAAGGGGAGGCATCAGTGCAAAATAAGGCTTCCACAGGTTCGGCGCGCAAATTGCTGAACATCAGGGGAGCCCACACGATCAGCTGCAATAGTTCCTGCTTTGCTTCCATGGACAACCTGAACACTTCATCATCCTCTCGGCCCCGGAAATCGTGGTATACCTGACCTAGCAAGGACATAGCCGGACGCCGAAACATAGTGACGAAAACCCAGCAACCCAGAATGCATTGTAGAAGGCTCTTGGAACAAACTCCGAGGACGATCAGCTGAAAAGTCAGGCAGCATAAGGCTGCCGTCTTCAAGCGAGGAGCAGCCAGGTCGCCGCGCACCCCGTCCAGTTCACCGCCTAGTACGACAGCTTGGTAGGAGTTCCGAACTGCCTTCTTTTGGGAAACCCGCAAATGCGTCTTCTCATACTGCGCTGCAGCCTGGCTGAATAAGCGAATGTCCCTGCGGTCGAGCTGGGGGGGCCTGTTAAGCTCCGAAGCGCAGACCACAAGGAGGAACACCCGGTCGTCTATGCACAACAGATCGAAACCCGGCCCTTTAGGTAATGCTTGGCGATAGGCCACTTGTTCGCTCGGGTGTAGCCCTCCAGCTCGCCGAAGAAGCACCGAGTGAGCGTGCTGTGCCGTTTCTACGGCAAAATTCGTCCCCATTGCCAGCGTCTTAAAGCATCCCACAACTTGTACATCGTGCAGCTCCTCCCTGTACGCCTGCCACCCTTGAAAATCACGACCATAAAAGACCCCGTGGATGTGATTCCTAGCAGCATGTCTATCGTCCACTTGAAACCCATGATAGAAATCTTCCAGGTCATCAGAGTTTATCACCAGACTCTTTCCCGCTGGGAGATAAAGCTGGCAAAGGAGCGAAGCGTGGGCCAGACTCAAAGTGGCGTCGGATACTGAGAATGACCGCCCGTTTTCCGGGATCGGGTTCAGGATCTGCCTGTCGAACTTATCGTTCTTATACACCGCAAAAAAGCCACAACGGAACTTCACCTCAGACTCCGAAGCACGAAGAAGATACAGACTTTCAACCGCATCCCATTTGCGATATAATTCCAGTTGATCGGCTTGGCTGGCTTGAACCCGAGCCCACTTTGGCCGATCCCAATCGGACGCCGGCCGTTGAAACACACTTGGGTCGGAAAACCCTGCTCGAAGCAGAGGATCCACCAAGAAGGGCTCAGCTTTGAAACGGGGTGCATGCTCGAACTTGAGGCGCTTCGGGTCAATCTTCAGGCTGCAAGTTGGGGCTGAGGCTTTCAAGCTGACCTTCATAGGTGAAGCTGCCGAGGGCTCACTGTCGACGGTGTCCTTCTCCGCTTCTTGGCCTCGGGGAGGTTTGCTGTAAGGCTGTAAATCGGAATACAATTGAGCACTCATCTGATGTAGCACTTGAAGCTGTTTGTCAATCTGGTCGAATTTCTGAAAAGCGCGTTCCAATCCGCACTTAGGCCCTTGCGCTAAGCGGATCCACACTGCGGCATGCCTCTCCAGCCTGGCTAGCATTTGTAACTGCTTGGCAGAGAGGGGCGGCAAGTCTGCGGTGGGGGCTCCCGGCCTCCCTTGAACCAACCAATTGCCCGCGGCCACTAGAAGGCGGACCCATGATCGGCAGGAATTTCGGAAGTCCCAGCGCGCCTTGCGCCGGCCCACAAGCCTCGTACGAGGAGCAGGCAAGGGATCAGGAATGGAGCACGGCCACAGTATGGTGGAGCTTTGCGAGGCAGAGCTCGAAAATGGTAGAGCTAAAGACTTTGCAATATAATTCGCTAATCGGGTGTGGGATCTGACCAAAACTTCAAGAGGTGTGTACAAAGCCGAGAAGCAGTCACGTACCCATCTAACCCAGAAGGAAAAAGTTCAGGCAGGAACCAAGTGGCAGTCACTGGCTGCTTGCGGCCCCAGCCTCCGGCTGGTTCTTGGTGCCTCGACGCCCTGTCCCTTTTGTTGGGGTTTCCGGGGCTGGCGCCCCCGTCCCGAGCTGCTGGTGATGAGACCGCTGGGTCCTGTCCTGGATGGTCTCGACGTCGCGGAGATACCCCAGCTGCGTAGCAATCCATCTCGGGTCGGCTAGCATGCCGTGAGGAACTTCGGCTCGAGGTGCCTTCCGCTGCTCCACCACCGCAAACGGAGGGTCTTCCCGGCACGTAAGGAGCCAGGCCAGGCGGGTGTGCCCTTGCTCGTTCGCAGCTTGCTCGCAGAACACCAGGCCCAAGCTCAAAAGGCTGAGCAACTCCTCCTGATGGCCCCGCTCGGCTGCTTCCCACATCTCGGCCATCAAGAAAGACAGGTAGGTCAAGGTCTTGAAGTTGCCAAGGGGCACAGTCTCCTGGAAGTGGGCCCACATGTCCCGCGGCTCTAGCTCGGCCACCGACGCGCGACGACGGGCCTGGGCCAGCCTCTCGCGCACCTTTGCATGGACTCGCCGAGGATGCTGAAGGAACTGCTCCCGGAGGAGCTGCCGAGCCGCCATGCCTTTCACCCCCGTCACTTTCGAAGACACTTCGGAGTCGCCGCTGGCTGAGGATCTGGGTCTGCTGGGCCAGGAGCCGGCTCAGAAGGTCGGTGCCCCCCGCGGTGGCCGCGCCTAAGTCCTCGTCGTCCTCCTCGTCGTCCTCGAGTCCAGCACCGGCACCGAGAACAGTACCAGGGCGGCTGCCGAAGGAGCCGAAGAAGGGCCTGGAAGGTCTCCTAAAGTCCTGGGTGCTTGCCCTGCCAACTGAAGCAACTGATCCACTTGATCTCAGCTTGGCATCGGCACCCTCCTCGAACAACTGAGGGGCCCATCCCGGAAGCTTCGCGCCCCCCAGCAACGGTCGCTTTAGCGCCGACTCCGCTGAAGGTTGGGCGCCCCGCTCCTCTAGCATTGAAAGCCGGGCCGCCTTGGGTGCTCGTCTGGGCCAGGATCTGCTGAAGGAGCTCGTGCTGGACCGCATCGGGAGGCTCGGCTCCGACAGCCCCGTCGGCCAAGGCCTCCGCGCCTGAGCTGCAGGTGAAGTAGGGCTCGAGCCTCTCGGGCAAGTCCTCGAGCTCGTCGCCATTTATGAACACTTCCAAGGCTTCCAAGGCGGATTTCCCGACGGGCCAAACATTCTGCAACCGGTGGGAGCCGCAGGAAGTAAGCTCGCCTGCCACACGGTCATCGGAGCCTGCTCGCTGAGCATGCTCACCCCGGCGGCGTTGATGTCCACAAGCAGGCAGGCGGCGGTCTTCTTTATGGGCTTTCCTGCAGCGGTCGCGACCGGTAAAGTAGCCGCGGTCCAAGGCCCCAAAACACCCCCGAACTCGGATGCGGTGGCCTCGTCCAGAGCAGCTTGGGGGATGGCGCTGCGAGGAGCGCACAATATGAATCCAGACCGTACGGCACGAACCAAAAGGCAATGAGAAGTGCGGTCCCCATAGGTTAGGAACAGCTTGGTGTAATCGCCATCGGCCGCCGTTCGCCATCCCTGCAGGTACTCGAGCTCGGTCGGCTCGGTCATCACTGAGATCTAGGGAGGCCGGGAAGTCCGGCCCCAAGGCAAAAAGCCTCCGCCTCTGAGATGCTGGCAAAGCCGTGGGAAATAGAAGCCGGGTCGAACTCGCCGTGCGGTTTGACCGTCTTGAAGTAGATGTCGGCGGAGTGGGTGAAGAAAGGGCGCTCCACAAGGTCGCCCGCCAAGATCACGTACACCGTCCTGCGCGAGCTGATGCTAGCACTCTCGAAGCAGCGGCGCTCGCCTGTAAAGATGCGAGCGGCCTCCCTCCCCAACTGATAGGCGAGGCGAATGCGGCCTTCAGGGCTGTGGCCGCCCAGCGGGGCACGCAAGTGCCGAGCAAGGGATAGCACACGATCCGAAGGAGTAGCAGGCGCCGGCTGCAAGTCAAGTTGATCAGCTGGAGGTGCCAGACCAGGTGAAGAGCTGCTTGTCGCCGAGGGTCCCGAGGAAGAAGCAGTGGTAGCCCCTGTCGCTGCCGAAGCCCCCTGAGTTCTGCTGGTTTGGTCCCGGGCCGCGTCCGGAAGTGAAATCTGGATTGTGAGGCTGCCAAAGCGTTCAATGAGAGCCTGAAGGTTCAGATCCAGATTAGGCGGTGTGCCCATGCACACCTCGGTAGCGAGCCAATCGGTCCCCGGTCCCGGGGGTGTGCAGCTCGCGGACGGCTGCTCCCAAACAGGCCCAAACGATGTTCCGGGCGCCGCGTGACAGCACTAAGGCAGTCAGCACGCAGCCGCTAAGGAACCCACAAACCCAGCAGACGATGCTCAAGAGAATCCAATCGCTGGTATGGCTGCTATTGCACCCTAGCCAGCCTAAGATAAAGGGCCAGGGGCCCGCTCTCTCGAACATGAAAGAAGCTGCGACAGCAGAGACGTTCTTTCAGCAATCCATGCAAGTCAACACACGAAAAACGAGAAGGAATCGTTCTAGCTGCGGCGTGCGGACTTGGGTCAGCAAGCCGTTCGCATGGAAAAAAGGGACCGCTCTGGTCCCGTCGGACAACAGACAGCCCTCGAGTCCTGTTATGAGCGAGATCGTGCAGGTGAAGGTCCACAAGTCCATAAGTCCAATCAGACTACAGGATAGGTGCACAACAGGCGGAGACCCGTTGGCTTCCAGAAGGCAGACATCAGTATGATTTTTGGCGTGAGCGGGCCTCGGTGACAGCGGCTGCTGCGCTCGGTTAAGCAACAAGTAGAGAGAATTAAAGATAACTAACATCTGTACAAAGTGAAACGAAAGGCTGCGACATACAGACTTAGCCGGCGAAGTCGTTCAGCATGAATTAAGATGCATCCGGGCCTATCGCGCTCACTGGCCCCGCTTCCCGCAAACCTGGGTCGCGCAATGGCAAGCATAAGGCATGGCCCCGCTTCCCGTAATCAAGGGTCGCGCAATGGCCGACATTTGCATTGTCGCATCGCCCCTGGAGGCTGACGGACAGCGTCTCCAGTAGGCGATGAGCTGAGCGGAAAAAGGGAACCAAGTTGCGCGTCCTGCTCAGTCAATCATCCTTACGGGAGGTAAGCGACAAATAAGGCAGAATTGAAGCCCGTGTCAAATCTTCAACGACCCATTCAAAACATCATACAAGCTGCATGCAAGGCAAGCACCACAATGGATTGGACCTGTGCTGCAGCCTCACGGCCGAATGGCCAGGGCAGACCTTCCATGGAGGTGGAGTTCAAGACCTAGGGAAGAATGCGAACACGTGCCGCCCAGTACCGCTCGGCCGCTCTATGCAGGAAGCGCCGCCAGTCTGCTGCGTCCGCCATGTGCTCATCATTCAGGGCATACAAGCAAGCCCACTTTCTGCGCGAATAGCGTCCTCTCGGCGGCTTGGTGAAAAAGAGGCGTAGAAGCCGTGTGGTTGGCCGGAACAAGCCTGTGGCCTCGAAAAGAAAGGGATAGTGCAGGCTGTCATCCAACCCACCGTCCTTCCGGAAGCTCAGAGCGGCCTGCACAGAGTGGAGTGGAGTGGAGTGGAGGGACGACCGAGACCCGAAGGCCTGGCCTGTTAGTTAGCAGTGGCATCACCTCCGGCCCGAAGGCTTAAGGATCAAACCACAAAGAAAACCCTGAAAAAACAAAGGGTCTTAGGGCAGGCGCCTTGAGCCGAACCTTTTGAGCCTTGAGGGTTGAGGACAGGGTTTAAGGGAAAATCAGACTTCGCAGGAAAATCAAAGCTTCCAAAACTCACATGCGCAATAGCAGAAGCTCCACGCCAATGCAAATGTCGTGAGAGGAAGAATCAGCAGTCCATCAATCTCAAGCTTGAAGCGTCACACAAAAGATGCCGTTCAGGAAGTCAGATGTTTTCACTCGGTGCGTCGAACTGATCCTCGTCGGCTGAAGCAATGCGCCACATGTTCACATGACGGTCGCAGATGCCTCACTTCCCCCGGTGTGGGAGGGCGGGTCACAAAAGAACTCGAGTCGTAACTCTGCTGAGGAGCGATCTCATTGGCACTGTACACATGATCAAGCTGCCTTGCAAAACACGCTGTTCCACTGAAGTAAAAACTTTCAATCACAAATCTTCAATCACATGTCCGCAGGAAAGTCCAAGCGTTCTGAGATGCATTCCCCCCCGCCCCCCCTCAAGGCTCCCGAACACACTTTTGGTCAGGCCCAAGCAGCGTGTTCTCACGCCTTGAGCCGAACCTTTTGAGCCTTGAGGGTTGAGGACAGGGTTTAAGGGAAAATCAGACTTCGCATGAAAATCAAAGCTTCCAAAACTCACATGCACAATAGCAGAAGCTCCACGCCAATGCAAATGTCGTGAGAGGAAGAATCAGCAGTCCATCAATCTCAAGCTTGAAGCGTCACACAAAAGATGCCGTTCAGGAAGTCAGATGTTTTCACTCGGTGCGTCGAACTGATCCTCGTCGGCTGAAGCAATGCGCCACATGTTCACATGACGGTCGCAGATGCCTCACTTCCCCCCCGTAGGAAGGCAGCAAGGCCGTCAGTTCAAGCCATCACCAAGGTGTTTTGCTCTGCTCCTTCTCACGACGCGACATCGAAGTCTCTCTTGATACCAGGTGTTGTAAGCTGACGCGTGCATTCACGAAGGCCTCCCTGGAATGAATCATCCGAAGGAAAATGTCAAGCGGCAGATCGTCAAGCTTCAAGGGAACCCTCAGCTCCGGACAGAAACTCGAGAAATCGTGATTGGTGATAGCGTCAGACAAGGTGTTCTCATCCCTCGGCCTCCACTGCAGTGTGAGCTGCTTGTTCACCTTGTGTAGAGCCGCTGCACATGCCATCTGAATGCCCATCAGCGGCCACTTAGTGCTCGAGCCCTTCTTCTGCAGCTTGCCAGTCGAAGAATTGTCTGTCCCCCCGCAAATCATAGTCCTTATGTTGTCGTGCACTCCCGACGTCTCCTTTTCCAGGTGATCAAAAACTTTCAACGCAGCAAGCGAGGCCAGCAACTCCGCACTCGTCGAAGCCCATTGGCTATCGCCGTCATCTTTGAAAAGGCAAGGCAGATCCTGTTGCGACACATCGAGGCAGAACCAGCGTGCAACTGACGGGTCCGTCCCATTCTCAAGCGAGTAGCCCCCGAGCACCACCAAGCCGTTTGTGCATTTTGCATCCGTCCTGAAACTCTCGCGCGGCGCCCGCCAATCCTGGAGCACACTGTGGAGTCCCCTGGACTCCGCAAGCTGTTCCCTGATATAAACAAGCGACACGAAGACCATCTCCGGAATCCTCGCCACAGTCCCCTTCTGCAAGACGGCATCAAAAGCATACAGCGGTGCAAGAAAAGGCTTGATCCAAGTCAACACCCTGGAAACAAAGTTGAGCCGCCCAAGGAATTCGGCAAAGCGCCGACCTGTGACGAACCAGTTGTTCGCCTCGGCATTGTCGATCCAATCAAGAACCCAGCGCGTCCTCTTGAGCGAAATCCCGGCGGCACTCTCTCGGTAAGAAAGCCAGTAGCCCACGAACTCGCACTCAACACCACCGTGAAACTTCCGGTAAGAAAACGGCGTGCCCAGCACCTCGTAAGCAGCCAGAATCATCCAGAGCACCACGTATTTGTCGGGACCAGTCACCACGATATGAAGGTCATCAACGTACACAATCTGCACATTCCAGAGCCGTCCCATCACTCTCAAGACCCAGCGTCCGATGCATCCGAACAATCTGGCCCAAAGGATCGCAGCTGAACTTACCCCGAAAGTTCCTACGCAATTAAGCCAAATCACTTTAGATGCCGACGAAGTCCGGCAGCCCATCAAGGGCCAGTCGCGTCGTCGTATTTTGGACCTCCTGTGCGCCTTGGCAATGTCCGCCGCAATGGAGAAGGGGACGCCGAAATCCTGCCGCGCCCTGGACACGGTCTCGATGATTTCTGCAGGTCCAGGCACTTCGAGTTTGTCTGCAATCCTTATACCATTGTTCAAGCGGACGCCGTGGGTGGCATCGTGAAGAGGGCGGACATCACCACTTGGTTTAAGAATGGCCCCCATGGCGGCCACCAGAAGTCGCCCCTCGCCGTACTCCGCCTTCACGGCCCCTTCAGTCGTCGCCACCTCCCGCTCCTCAGCCCTGAAGTGCTCTTCGATCTTATCTGAAGACAGCTCGGCAGAAGAGTAGTTCTGCATCTGCGGTTCAAACTCACTCTCATCCAGCTTGCGGAAGCGGTCCCTCGGCCGGAACACCTGTGGCGCCGTTGGAAGTGGCGAGTCGAAGCCCACCGGCATCCCCTCGGCATAACACTCTTCCCCCTGCACAAGAATCTCCCAGTCGGGGTCACCAAGTAGCCTCAGCGACTCGGCCAGCAAGTACAAGTGGAACGGCTGCCGCTCGGGTACACGCAGCAGGTCTGAAGACGCCCCTGGGATCAACCCGACGATCCTCTGCCTCAACTTCTGCAAGGCAGACTCCGCGAAAGGAGAATTCTTCACATGGCCCGTCGCGAGACGGAACGCCATGTCCTTGGGGTCTTTCAGCTGATCAATCACAAAGTCTCGTAGCAATCCGCGAATTCCCTCTGCATGTGCCACCTCATCACTCGACGCCAACTTCTCTCTCGCCTCGGGAGCCCAACGGCCAGGCGAACACAACCCGAAGCCGTCCACAAACTCTTGCTTGCCCATTTCAAACTTGCAGATCATGGGCTGCCCGAAAGCGCGACTAGTCTTGGGGTCAAAAGCTTCCCTGGCCGACTCCTCATGATCGACCACCACGACCTCCTGAGCGTCTCCAGTGCCTGAGTTGTCTATCGCCGGCACTGCTGCAGCCAAGGTGAAGTTGTCTGAGGAAACGAAGGATTCCGCTGGTGCCTCCCCCCCCGCAGGAGAGGAATCCAAGACAGGAAAGCCCAATGAAGCCAGAAAAGCCGAATCATCAACAGAGAGCAGGTGCACGTTCTGAGGGGTGTATGCAATGGCGATGAGACGATCCCCAACCCAAGGTTGGGTAGCGTGCAAACATCCACGGGCATCCAGGTAGACGGGTCCGTCTTGCAAGGAGTGTACAGTGCCTGTGACGGGCGAGCCGTGAAAGGATCGCACCTGGGTACCTGAGTCATCCTGTATCCAAATGCCACCATCAGAAAAGGAGGAAATTGCCACAATCAAGTTGGGCACAGCTGCATTCCGCGGATCACGATGAACCTCACTAGTAACGTTCTTTGTGAGAACAAAAGCAGCGTAACGGTGGTGCGGGTCCACGGAGTGAAGAAAAGCATTGATCACACGCATGGACTCGGGGAATGTAAAACAAGTGGACCGCGGTGCGGTGAGACCCTCCTGGTGCACAGTGCCTCCAAAGAAAGCGGTGCCAGGTTCTGCACTGCCTGTGATCTTATGAGGCCGAGTCTTAGGAAGCAAGTCGAAAAGAATCTGAACTGAAGCACGATCGAAAGAACCGCGTGCGATGCACTCCGTGGCAAAGGCTTCGGCGGATGAAGGGATGTTGGCTGGGATCAGGTCGGAGTCAGCCACGGCCCTCAGCTCAGGCACCACACTCAAAGAGAGACGGGCGAAGAAAGCAGCGAACTCCGAAGGGTAAGCCGCCGTGGCTGCCGATTTCCAAGTGCCATCCTGAAAACCGCAGGCTCGATCTGCATGTGAATGCGGACAGCGCAAGAGCGGCCCCACGTAGTCCCCGTCATCATTGAAACATGGCATCTGTATCCCAAAGTTCAACGCTCCGGGCAAATTGGATAACAAGCGGGTGGGTTTGCATGACGTAGCCCCGAAAAGGCATTGATGCAATGCCCAGCAACTGACATCGCCTCCAGCGCAAATCTGACGAACCTCATCAAAAGACCAAATGGAAGCAGGCCTCTCACCAGACGGCACACGGCCCAGATCTTCAGGGTGCTCAAGAATGAAGTACAGGCCCTGCTGCCTCTGTAAACGGATGGCCTCAAACGATTGTTGCACGAAGAAATTTGCCAGCTCAACTTTAGTGCGATTTGAATCACGCAACCAAGGAAAACCCAGCAGATGGCCATGTGAACGAAGTGGGCGTGGGCCAAATGCCCCCGCAAAACGATGTCTAGCCCGCGAAAAAGTGGAACAAGGCGGGCTCAAAATAAGGATATCATAGGCTCCAGACGAAATGTCCTTGAAGAGACGCTCCCAAAGCCTGTGCGACGATAGATCCTGTTCAGGACCTCGCAGCAAATCAAACTCATGCAAAATTAAATCCAGTCCCCGCGACGTGCAGAGCTGCTGTAAGTGTGATCTGATATCTCCTTCCCGTGCCTGCCCAGCGAAAAGATACAGCACGGTGAGTTTGGAACGTCAGTTGGTGGCTTGCGCCCCGGTCGGTGCTGCCGCCTTTGCTGCCAAGCTCTGGAAATGCTGCCACATCGGATGGGACTGCATGCACCCTCGGACGCGACATACATGAACTCGACCGCAGCTGCCATCACAACCCTGAGCGTTATATGGAAAACAAATCTGACGTCCATCCGGCGTGTGTGTCCAGAGCGCATGATCACTCTTGCCCTTGCCACCGCCGAGGCCCTTGCCATCGCCCTTGGATTCATCGCGGTTGGCCTTGCCCCCCTTGCCGTTCTTGCCCTTTCCATGGCCACGTCCTTTGCCTGTTCGCTGCCACTTGGCCGGGCTCTCGGACCAATCATTGTCCCACTGTCGGAACCGTCGCTGTGGCCAGAAAGGATCTGGCCGCGGTGGAGGTGCAACCTGCTGAAGGGCAATGGGCGATGTAAAATACTGCTCCTTGAGCTGAGCATCGGACGTCACCTCCGCGAGTGTATCCTTCAAAGGCCGATTGCCCTGTACAGCCCGTTTGATTGCCTCCTTTCGCAACTCAAACTCGAAATTCAGCAACACTGACCAAGGGGGCCGCAATGGTACATGTTCGGTCTGATTGCCCTTGCCACCTGCCATCGGCACCTTCATAAGGTAAACCTTGTCAGACAGCAGAAATGCAACATACTGATTCCAGCACTCGGGGTCCATGCCTCGCAAGAGCTCGCGGTTGCGATACTTGGTCGCCAAGAAGCACCACAGGTTGCACTCAACACGCATCACCGTGCGCAATTCCTCAGTGCCCTGAGGCAATGATCCCTTGACCTTCGTCCGCACGATGCGAACATGGCCTGAAGAATCGACTGCAGTCTGGATCCCCTGAGTCTTCACAGTCTTGCGTGATGTAACCTCGGACAGCGGCGAAGCCGTCGGCTCATGAGCCTCAAGCTCCTCCATCTTGCATGAGATGTAATCCTCGGAAGGCTCATGTGCATCTTCAAGCCTGCCGTGGGTCGCCTCGAAGGCGGCTCTCATCGCACTCCGATCTGTCTGTGTGACGGGCCTTGAAACCCCCAACACGCGCGCTTCCGCGCGAAGCTCCTGCTCTTTCGCGGCAAATTGTTGACATGCCTCCCAAGCACTAATCACAGCTGAGATCCCAGCACGCTTATCAAGAGTAGTAGGCTCCAGAGCGAAATCGTTCTTCAAGGCATCTCGTATCCCTGCACGGGTGTCCTCATAAGACTGAAACCGCCTCACAGTCTTGAAAGACTGTGTGAGTTTGTACTGCAATCCAAGCGGGACTCCAGCTTCCTGAAGGATGTGTGCAAGTTCAGCATCGACTTCAGTGGACAAGAACTTCGAAGCCGCTTCCTCACTCACTCCAGCTGGCAAATCCATGTCTGGAACTCACTGTAAGCTACCTCCGAACACACTGTGTGAAGAAATGCCACTGTGTCTGAAGAGTCTGATCGGCTCACCTCAATTAGCACAACGTTAAGACAAGAAAGACATGTCAAAGCACTGCACCTGATACTGACGTGACTGCGGCTCTTCTCAATCTGATGCAATGTCCCAATCTGATACTCACGGGACGTGGCACAACCGAAGTACTTCCTGCTTTGACTCACGGGACAAGCCACTGATGCGACGAAATTTTCACACCCCTCATGTGTCACGGCTCCACTGCATCTGAGGATGCGGACTCACTGCTGACTGCCCCTTGCTCCTGTAGCCGGGGCCTGCATAACTTACAGATTGCATCTGCAGAATCCTGAGTGATGCTGTACAAAGGAATGGTCTCCAAGCAACGCTCCTGCCTTACAGCACAAGTGCGTGACATGTGAAGACGTCTGTGCCCACTACGACTCACAACAACAAAGTATGGCATGGCGCATCTGCATCTTCCGGAGAAGGCGCCGGCTGGTCCTTCGGTGGCTCGGCCACCGCTTGCTGATGGCTTCCAGGGTCAACTGCAATTGCCGGAAACTTTCCTTGAAGACTCCAGCACAAGTTGAGTGCACACCACACCATGACATTGTGGCGTGCAACAGCCCCGTTAGAAACTCCATGTTGCTCCGCAAACGCCTTTAAGCGAAGAAGCAGCTCCTCCTCGATGTAGCCGGGCTGGTTCTTCCCAGTCAAGAGTGTTTCGCACACCTCAGCCTGAACTTGCTGTATAATTTGTCTGGCCGTCAGCACATAAGCGGTTGACCCCTGCCGGGCAGCCGCCCACCGTCCGAGAAAGTCGCGCTTCTTTTCGTCGATCCCAATTGCTGCCGCCAAGGATGGAAGGAAATGCCTCGGCGAGTGCCCGGACCAGAAGAGCGCCAGCTCCTTCGGAACCAGCTTCGTTGTCTTGCTCAGACCCCAGACTCCATCTTTCTTCCCCGGGACCGGCAGCTCCAGGATCACACGTCGCACAAGGTTGGCGACGCCCTCTGCTCCAACGTACTCCCTCGATTTGACTTCCCACGACTCACCAATGTCTGGACACAAGAAATCCCGAGCAAACTTGAAATCCTCGCTCATCAAGAGTTTGCATGAATGCGCAATCCAGTCATAGCCAGAAAGGCTTATGCTCCTCACAAGGTATCCGTGCAGCTGCCCGATCCGTTTTCCAGGTCCAGAGGTCTTGGTCCGGGAGAGAACAAATTTCATTCCAAGCTGTGACAGCGTAACACTCGAAGGATCGATCCCCTGTATATCGTCACATCGCAGCGTTCCCCAACACATAAGCAAGAAAATGAAGCATCCGAACCGCAGCCCAGGGGGTGTCCCGACCTTCACCAGCAGAATCTCAGCCGAGAGCACCATCGCCACCGTAACGAGCTCCGCCTGCTTGACCGGCTCGGCACCTGTCTCCAATTGCATCGTCCATGCCTTCACAGACTCCACAAGTAAAGGATCCTCCGACAGCCTATCTGCTGAAGGCCTCTGCCCAACCAGCTCCAGCAAACCAAGGCTTGACAAGATACTCTGCGGAACAGTCTTCCCCATCGGCCTGATCTGATGCCTCTCATCGAAGTACTGCAGCAACAGCGATGCGTCTCCTGGCCAAGGTTTCCCGGTCGCCTGAATCATCCACTCGCGCACCGGCTCCCACGTGCGAGCCCGATTCTTCAAGGTCTTGCCGCGCCTGCTACCGAACGCCCGTAGCCAGGCCGATTCCGCGTCAGCCAGCGATCCAATTCTCTCAGATGCTGGCAGAGCCGCCTCCTGGATGTAGCCCGCGAGCTTGAGACCCCAGCGGCGCCTGCACAAGTCCTCTGCTTCCACACGCGCCCCTGTTCCAGCTTTGCGAAGCTTTAACTTCTTCTCAAGAGCAGCCAAACCCAGCACAGGATCAGAAGCCAAAAGCCCCTCATACAAATCGGCAGCCGTCACACTGGGCCCACGACGGATATAAGGCCCCCGTCGGACATTCTGCCCGATCTCGCGAACAGTCCTTTCCACTGTCCCTTGATGAAGCGCGCACCACTTATGCACTGACTCTGTAAGCGCCACACGATCCTCAATCTTAAGAACATCACTCATCGAATCATCCACGATTGCCTGTACATCCTCAAGCGTAGCTGCAGCCAAGCAAAAGTTTCCAATATGAAAGAAGACCTTCGAAACACGCTCGCAGAATACAGGGTTGATTTCTCGAAGCTGCTGCCACTCCGAGCCCATTGCCGGAATTCACTCAAGGTGAGCCATAGCGCCGGAGGTCCCCTACGCCCACCCACTCACAAAAGAACTCGAGTCGTAACTCTGCTGAGGAGCGATCTCATTGGCACTGTACACATGATCAAGCTGCCTTGCAAAACACGCTGTTCCACTGAAGTAAAAACTTTCAATCACAAATCTTCAATCACATGTCCGCAGGAAAGTCCAAGCGTTCTGAGATGCATTCCCCCCCCGCCCCCCCTCAAGGCTCCCGAACACACTTTTGGCCAGGCCCAAGCAGCTAGGGCAGGCGAACCGGGTGGCCAACCGCGCACCCCGGGCGCACACCGGATCCATCCCGACTCGAGTCTCCATCAGCTCATTGCAGCTCGCGTAACCGTGCACTCCAGGCACGAAAACCGGGATCCATCCCGACAGAGCTTCCATCAGCTCATTGTCACTTGCGTAACCGCGCACTCCAGGCGCGAACCGGCTATCAGCTCATTGCCGATTGCGTAACCGAGCACACCAAGCGCGAACCGGGATCCATCCCGACAGAGCTTCCATCAGCTCATTGTCACTTGCGTAACCGCGCACTCCAGGCGCGAACCGGATCCATCCCGCCAGGGCTATCAGCTCATTGCCGATTGCGTAACCGAGCACACCAGGCGCGAACCGGGATCCATCCCGACAGAGCTTCCATCAGCTCATTGTCACTTGGGTAACCGCGCACTCCAGGCGCGAACCGGATCCATCCCGCCAGGGCTATCAGCTCATTGCCGATTGCGTAACCGCGCACACCAGGCGAGAACCGGGATCCATGCCGACAGAGCTTCCATCAGCTCATAGAGCACTCCAGGCGAGAACCGCGATCAAGCCGAACTGCTGTACCATCGACACTTGCGTAACCGCTCACTCCCCGCGTGAAACAGGATCCACTGGTAGCTGTTCCATCAGATCATGTCAAGTGTAGAAGCACGATCACCAGGTTCGAACCGGGAACCATCCCGCAAGAAACACGTCAGCCTCCAGCCGCAAAGAGACCCAAAGTGCCGGCACTGTCGCCCTACTGTGACCCACGCCTGCTTGCTGGGTGCTCTTCGGCCTGGAAACAATCCTAGGCCTTAGCGCCGCCCCTGGGGTCCCAGCAAGCACGCTGGCGAAAGGGTTAACAACCACAGCAGGCCCAGGGGGGCCTGCACAGAATCTTCGAACTCCGGCTTGATGCTCGAACAGGTAGCAGATCCAGAGATCCCTCTGAGAGCGGCAAGCAAAGTCCGGCTGCACTTGTGGGTGACAAGCACCTCTGCGTTCTATGAGCGTCGTAAGCATGCACCGATTCTCCACTGCAAGGGACAGAGCTCTTCGACTAAACGTCAAGGCAGACATCAACATGACCACCACACTTGCCGGCAACCAAAAGTCTCTTCAACCCGTCAGCCACCAACCTTCCTTGCTGCTTCTCTTGAGTTTCTTTGAAAGCTTCCAAGCCCGACATAAGTCTGAAAATGTTGAGCATCCGAGCTGCCAGATTGACTAAAACCAAACGTTGGCTACCAAGAGCAGAGTCCAAAGAGCTGCAACTGCCGAAAGCAGCACATGCAGCAGCAGAGTTGCATGGATGTGCCCCTAGTCACCTAGTCGGAGCGGACCTCCTCTGAGCCCCCAGAGGTCTGCAGCGCAGCTGCCAGGACATTTCGCGCATGCTTCACGTGGTAAAGCACGCGTCGTCGGTCAGCTTCCTTTGACAGGTCAATTAGAGGCAGAACTTAGCTCTGGACCTGTCTTATCCAGCTTGCATCCGCATTTAGCATGAACGTGCCTGAAGTGATTTTAGTGCCACACTCAAAGTGTCGTTGACTGACTGCATCTTCTCCGGACTAGTTGGGTGATATCTCACAATCGCATCAAAGAATCCGTTGCGAATGTGCTCCTCCCAGTCGTTGAGCGTAAGCCCAGCCCCAACAGCCACAAAAGCTTGTTGAATATTCATACCCCGGTTCGAACATCTCTTGCCACAATGGTAAGGACATACTGAGTTTTTACAACAAACAAACCGGTTCGGACATCTCTTGCCACCAGATCAAGACATTCCAAGTTCTCTTGCCACAAAGCTAAAGACATACTGAATTTTTAAAAGAACCTGGTTCGAACATCTCTTGCTACAAGATCAGGACTGAGTTTTTTAAAACAACTGGTTCGAACATCTCTGGCCACAAAGATTATGAGTTTTCCAAACAGCCCGGTTCGGACATCTCTTGCCACAAACGATAATCTGAGTTTAAAGAATAAACTGGTTCGAACATCTCTTGCCATTAGATCAAGCAAGACATTCTAGGTTCTCTTGCCACAAAGCTGGAGACACACTGATTTTTGAAATAACTTGGTTCGAACATCTCTTGCTTCAAGATCAGGACACACTGAGTTTGTTCAAAAAACTGGTTCGTTCATCTCTGGCCACAGAAGATTATGATCTTCTTGCAGCTAATCTGAGTTTAAATGAAAACTGGTTCGAACATCTCTTGCAAACATTGCTGAGTTCGCTGCAAGATCACGAGAAACTGAGTTTTCCAAAATTACCTGGCACATTTCTGCAAGATTTGAAATTTTGTCAAACAGTCCGGTTCAAGTGGTACAAAGGAATACATTTTACAAAGATTCCAAAACAAACTGGTTCAAATCACAACATAAGTAAAACATCTGAGTTCCAAAGTTTCCACTGCAATCAGAGTGACTTTTTACAAAGATAGAATTGGTGTGACTGCTATCAACTTGATAATTCACAGAAAAACATCTGTCAATGGGCAAAAGGTGTGGAAAAGATGCATTCTGCCAGAAGATGTACATTTCTTGACAAGTGCAACAGCATCACATTCGAATGCTATTGCAAGGCATGCTCCAACAACAACACACTGTCTGATGCCGGTTCGGAGAAGGCAGTAGTCGCCTCGGACCCGGAGACTTGCCTCGAACGATCGAGAGTGGCTGCCTCCCTCTGAGACCCACCGTTCTCGAAAACAGCATCCGGGTCTTCCCACGCTGCGCGCTCTGCACCATGAATCAGGGAGTCCACAGCACGGCCGAGGTGTCATCGTCACTGGCATCCCTTTGATCCCCGAAACCCGGCTCAGAGGCAGGAGCACTCGCACTAGGAAGGGCTTCTGAGCCACGCTAAGCCAGGACTAACCGTAGGCCGGTACCAGTTCCTTTCCGCCTCAGTCTCGAATACGCTGTCGCCGGGCAGCTTTTTTGGGTCGAGCCGGCAGCGACGGGTCCTTTGCATAAAAGACCTGACCGTGTCATGTCTGGAAGATACTTGCCACACCGAACATCTAACACAGCTCCGCAACGGTCCCGCTTAAATGTCTCTTGAATAGGTGACGACTGATCGCCGATCCTTCAAGGACAAATGGTGCAGGAGTCCTTGACATGTCCGTCTTGCTTGCCCACGATAGGGCGGTATGCTTGCACGAGTGGCAGTAGATCAGTCCCCATGCTCGCATCCCCGGACTGGAGGATCGAAGCGAAGAAATACAGGACAAACCTGCCCGTCGGATCCGACGACCGCTCCAAGACCGATTGAGCATGGGCGACTGCAGCAGAGGCAGGCTGCAGGCTCCGGTGGCGACCGGATGGCCCAACAAGCGCCACACCTCAACCCAAGCTTAAGCCCAAAGACCTTGACCCACACCCCGCTTGGGGCCACTGGGCTCAATTCGAGCCCCAACGGATTGCCGTCGATGCACACTTGCGTGACGTTGAGATGCACTCAAGGAAACCTTCACCGTCTGCAAAATCGATGATCATCATTTTGACTGCCCTCACATCCCCTACAAGGGCCCTCGAGTGAATGCAAAACAAGCAAGCACCTGCAGCATATCTATCTCTTGCATGACGGCCTGGACGAAAGCTTCAACGTATGCCACCTCGCGAACCTGAAAAGGCCTGGCTTGCACGCGAGGGCGACGGTTGAACCGCACCTTGCGAAGATGCCCTTGCACAAAGCGGGTGCTTATGAGGATCACCAATCGCACCCACGCCCAAAATGAATCTCGCGAAGTTACAAGCTTTGATGCAAGATCAAACACAGAATGCGAGGCACCACTCTACTGCAAATGCTGGGTGTTCGATCAACACCTGAAAGTTGATCAGGACACAAACTGTGAAGCATGCTCTTTGGAGGTGAGGTTTGGCGCCTCTTCTCTTGAAAAAGAAGCGTCCAGGGGCTCCGTCCGGACTCCTCTTCGTCTAGCTAGTTCTGATTCAGGTTCGTCTGACAGCGAGATAGATGAAGTCCTGACTGCGAGCCAAACAGACTCCGCAGTGAACCCAGGGTTCGAACATAGAGTTCCCAAGCCCCGGGTTCGAACACAGAGTTCTCCAACCGTTTGAACATGGAATTCAAACTCCAGGTTCAATCTAGGGTTCAACTCTGAGTTCCGGAGTCATGTGTTCTCCCTTCCCCCCCCGCCCCGGAAGTTTGAATCGAGGTTCCGGAACACTCCAAAAACCTATGCTCACCTGACCCAGGGACGCTCGCCACCCGGCAGCTCCTGCACCTGATTCTCTTCCCGGGCGACCAACCAGTGAAGAATGACCATCGCTTTGAAGTCAAATGCGTCGAAATGCGCGAAGCGCCATAAGCGGACTGGAAAGTAAAAGTCCCTCTTGTGGCCCTTTTTCGTCAACACTTCATCAAATTAATGCCGTGACAGAACAAAGAAACTCTGGAACGTCCTGCTGCCTGGCTTGCAACGTCTCTTCTCTATTGAGTCCGTGAGTTACGCCTTTGGGAACGCGGCGGAGCGAACCCCTTAGATCATCCGGGCTGGAGGGCTGCGTCCCACGCCGATGTGCCGAGAGTGCAAGCTGCTCCAAGGGTGGTCCATGGCGTACGCCGCTTGAATCACGCCGGGAAAAGCAGAAGGTTCGTACACACACACAAAATAAAAATGCCAAAAGTACACATTTTTGAAATTGTCAGTCTCAAATGACCCGTTAAATCGGAGCACTTTTTGCTGTCGCACATGACGTCGCTACTGAGCTCTGCTTTCTCCAGTACGGTGAAGCCCTACGTTCATGAATTTCAAAAGAAGCGAGCACTTTTTTTCTTTGCTGCCTGTTTCCAAACCAAAAATTCCTTGACTCTTCAAGATGGACCCATGATACAGAGTCGGATCCTACACGCTCAGACCTAGTATGACCGCAGATGTGCATGCCCTAACTCCTTGATAGACAAAACATTCCCGCAAGGTTATTTCCAGCATGCCATGACACATGATCCCGCCAGGTGTCTGAGCCGTCCTGCATGTGATCGCAAACAATGTCCCGCACGCACTCACAGAGGTTAATCACTGCAGGCAAACAAAGAACCCCGAGGCCTCCAGGCTCATGGGGACCTGACTCCGAAGCACCACAGCGCAGACTTTTACTCGGACCTCGGAATCTTCTTGAATCGCTTGTCAAGACAATGCACCCAGTCCCTGATGGGCTTGCCCTTCCAGCATTGCTTGCAGCGCCAGTGCGCCGCTTGAACCGCCCGACGTGAACGGCTTGTGGTTCGCGCACGGCCACATATAAAACGAAAATCATGATGCATCTGGCCCCGAATCCTGGGGCTAAGTGGAAGGGCGATGGAAAAGGCGACAAGGGCACCAAGCGCGATGCCGATGGCAAGCCGAAGTTGCCTCACCGTCCCAATAAAGGCATTGGCAAAGGGAAGTGTCCTGAGGCGTTGTCCGACTCTCGCTTGAAGCACAACTGTAGCAAGACCAAGAAACGCTTGTGTTGGAATTTTAATATGCAGGCTGGATGTAAGTTTGCGAAGCCCGGTGAGAGCTGCAAACGGGGCCTGCATATTTGTATGTTCTGCGAGCAGCCCCACTCCCTTCTCCAATGCCCGACTTACAAAGTCAACGAGTGACGGGAGGCTGCCGCTGTTGAGGCCGATTCTCTTGTTGATGATGAGCTCTTCGGTCTCGTCCCATGCGGCAAACCATGATTGCATGTCGGCACAGTTTGACCCGGTTGGCCCATTGGAACGTCCCAAGCCAGCCTCATCAGTGCTTGATCGAATTCCAAATGTTGTGATTGATGAGCGAGATTTTCCCTTGCCCGCTGAGCGGCGAGTGCATGCCTCTTTGCATCAGCAGAGCAATTTGCACAAGACGTTCTGTCGTCTGGTGAACCTGTGACAGCAACTTGTGTTGAGCAGCTTTTTAATTTGTTACCTTCTAAGTTGGATGAGCGATTCAGTTCGGATTCCGGCAGATCCTTTGTCGCGGGTGTTTTCCGGCATGGGGGCGTCGTTGGCCTCACGAACTCCTGCCGTTCGTTTCCCCAATCGGTCAGTTTGGCCATCACTTGGGCCATGCAGCAAGCGGGGACCGAGTTGTCAAATTTCACATTTTGCTCGATTTCTCTGAACCTCAACGTTAAGACTGAAGTTCACCGCGATGTGAATAACGATGATGCTGACAACCTCGTGCTGGCTGTCACCACTTTCTCAGGTGGACATATATGGGTGCAATCCGAGTCGGGCAGTCATGTGCTGCCTGTCAATGGGTCCTTGGTTCCTGGCGTCTTGTATGATGTTGCAGCAGCCCCAGTGCGGTTCTATGCACGAAAGCGCTTGCATTGCACACTGCCTTGGACGGGCGATAGGCTGGTCCTCATCTTGTTTTCGGGCGGAGATGCCACTCAATTGCCCAGCCTTGACTTTGAGCACCTTAAATCCCTTGGGTTTAGGCCTTCGGTCTCCACGTCCACGGCCAACCCGCCGTTGGCGTTTTTACCACCGCCTGCCGGAGCTTTTGAGCCCTTGCTTTCTAAGGTTTCTGCCAAAGTCAAAGGGGCGCCTCTTGAAAATCTCATGTTTCTTGATGTTTTCTGCGGTACGGGGGGGCTCTGTGCATCCCTTCGGCAGTTAGGCATGAAGCTAAGTGTCGGTTTAGACCGTCACGCGCAGCGAGGTTGCAAATGTCCCGTTGTCTCACTGGACCTCACGAAGCCAGGATCCCGGGCCATTCTGCTTGATCTCCTCAAACAGCCTAATGTTGTTGCGTGCCACTTGTCTCCACCTGTAACCACCAGTTGTGCCAATCTGATGGGCCCTCGCTCAGGTGGTTTTCGCAATGCAGCGCACCCTGAAGGTCTGCCTGGTTTGCAAGGTACTGATCTTGAATTGGTCCAGGGGGCTAATACACTTTTTGCCATGTGTGCCGAGGTCTGGCATTTCTGTTGGAGCCATGGGGTACTTTGCTCCATTGCTCACCCGAGTCGATCCATCATGTGGCTCTCAGCGTCACTTCGCTCCTGTCAGTCTACACCTTTCCTCTCCACCTCCCTGCACCAATGCATGTTCGGCTCCTACCGGAGAAAGGCCACTCGCCTTTTGCACACGGTTCCCTACCTGCAAAAGCTTGGTGTGACCTGTGACGGCGGCCACGATCATGAACCGTGGCGATCCCCTGCACAAAATCGCCTGAAGGATGCAGGCCTGCCGCCACTATTGTGCAAGACTTTTGCCCAGGCACTTGTGGATCAGCTCGTTGCGTGCGGTGCGCGCGCCCCGGCGTGCTCTCTTGCAAATGCTTCCCTGTCGCTCTCCATGGGCGCCCGTGTTGCTACAGCGACGCAACCCTCGGGTCGCAGGATCCCTCCACTGGTTCCTGAGTTTGCTCGCACAGTCGAGTTGGCAGGCCCGGCCGATCAGCTGCCGTGCACCTCAAAGACCAAGCTGGTGTCGCCGTGGGCGGTTCCCAATACTGTCTTCTGCCAACCTTTTCTTGCATCTTTGCCGCCAGGTTCCAAGTGCCTCCGAGCCAGCCCTTTGGTTCCACGGGGTCTGGCGCCTGCCTCGGAGCCAGCTAAAGGTGCGGGTTTAGGTAGTCCTGAATCCTCTGCCTCCTTGTGCCAGCCGGCACCTGCCTTGCCTGCGGTTGCTGAGGGTGTGGTTTCAGGTAGTCCCGACTCCCTAGTCCCCCAATGCCAGCCGGCAACCTTACCCTTAAATGCAGCCAGTGCGACACCTAATGCCAAATCTGGGCTTGAACTGCTTTTTGGCATACCATGGTCGCCCTCGGAGTTCGTCGAGCAGGCCTGCAAAGCGAAGCACCCGCGCTCCTTGGACCAAGGCGTGCCAGCCGGCATGTCAGCGTGTATTGATCGCTTGTGTGAGCACAGCTCGGTCAGTGTGGCGAGGGAACGAACGGCCGAACTTCGCAAGTGGATGCTTAGGAAGAAAGATCTTGACGAGAGTTTTGATGGACCCGCGCATTGCAAGAAGATCCTAGCTGGAAAACCCATGAAACTCTTCGGGGAGATGGTCGAGGCTGCCGGACATGCTGATGTGAACTTGGTACGAGATATACAGAACGGTTTCGACCTGCTTGGCGAGATCCCTTCCTCGTCTGTCCTGCCGAAGAAAACCACAGTGGCATCTCTCAGCGTCGAGGACGTAAGAATCGCCACCCCGGCGAATCAGCGTGCGATTTGGGAGGCTACCCGCGCTTGCAGGGATCCTGAAATCACTTCAGAAGTGTATCGCCTTACCTTGGAGAAGCGGGACAAAGGGTGGCTGACCGGCCCCTTCACTCTCGCCGATGTGCCGGAGACTGCTATCGTTACACGCCGTTTTGGCGTCAGGCAAGGTGTGACGACGACTGCCACCGGTGTGGCGGCTAAGATCCGTCCTATCGACGACTTCATCCGTCCTATCGACGACTTCACAGAAAGCTTGGCTAACTAAGCTTCTCGGCCCAAGACCGGTTGCTGTGAGTGGTGGGTAGCGGGGCGGGGTAGCTGTAGCCTTTCGTAGGGACACGCATGGACTGCAGCACTCGTTGCCGACTGTTTCCTGAGCCCACGCTGCACTTTCAGTCAGCGCGACTACGCATGCTTTTCATTACTTTGCTTGGCTTGGTGTTTTCCTTTTACAACTCTTCTTCACGCAGTATTTGTATTTGCCACATGGATTTTCCGGAGAACGCATGCAGTGCAGCAACAGCACCTTATGAGAACATGGTGATGGCCGCTCCGGTCCCAAGTCCGGAGGCTGGGGTCCCAGAAGAGTTCAGGCTTCTTGCACAACTTCTGGATCGCAGTAGAAGCGAGGGTTGGGGTTTCCTTCGTCAGGGCCCTGAGAGCGGGATGGATATGGATCTTCAAAAGCTTCTTGCACCCGCGAAAATCGACGATCGAGGCAGTCCTTCAGGGTTCACACAGGCTAGAAAGCGCTCCTATAAGCGAGCGATCCTTCGGGCGAGGAGATGGGGATACACGCAGTACAAAGGCACAGCGGTCGACGAGGGCGACCTCACGGGCATGTACACCAACAAAGCACAGCAAACCAGCCGTCAGCGTCACAGGTACACAGGGTCATTGCCGCGATCGGAGGCCTCGCTCTCTCTGCTTTCATGGAATTGCGGGGGACTCAGTACACTGCAGGATGAGCTGTTCACTTGGCTTGCTTCCACCGATTACCAGATCGTATGCCTTCAAGAGACATGGTTTAAGAGTCACATGGACTACAGCACCAGGGGTTGGCATTGTATCAACTGCGGCATCGGCGAGAGCGCAAAGCGGGGACAAGCAGGAGTGATGGTTTTATTTTATTGAGGGCTAGCCGATTTGATCAGCAGAGCATTCGCTTCAATTATGTGGTGGCAGGGCGACTCTTGCACGTGAAGGCCTATGGCAAGGGCATAGGCTGGGTGGAGATAGTCAACGTCTACCAGCATGCGTGGGGGCTGCACGGCGAACAGACCACCATAGAGGCCAAGAGGGCTACGCTCTGGGAGAAGATGAGGCTAACGTTGGGCCAGATCCCTCAGAGCAGTGCACTTGTCGTTTGTGGTGATTTTAATACTGCGCTTCAGCACCGAGCTCCATATGTGGGTCGAGGTCTTCCGAGGCAGCAGCAGAGTTCGTCAGATGCAGAGGCTCTGGAACACATTCAGAATGATTTTGATTGCATTGCTGCCAACACTTTTCACAGGTCGGGGTCGTACACATACATACATGAGGGATTCGCGAAAGCGCGGCGCTCATTCATTGACTATGTGATGCTCCGAAGACACAAGCACCGCTCCATCACTTCCAACATCATCCGCGATTTTGAGGTGGGACGCTGGCGAGCAGGAGGGCGGCATCTACCTGTCCATGTGGTCTTCACGCATCGACCTTACTACTCCAGTAGTCCCAGAACACCCTGCGCAGAATGGCCGAGCTGGAAATGCAAACTCCTCGCTCAACAGGTCAAGGAGCATCCCGAACTTGTGGAGCAGTTTCAGCAACAGGTTGCGGAATCACTAACGGCTGTCACCTCTTACGAGCCCCAGCAGCTGAATAACCTGCTGCTTGAGGCGGGCAAAAAGGTCTTCACGATCCGGAGGCCCCCGAGCTTACCTGCTCCAGCTGAGGACCCAGAGCATGTCGTTACCATCAAAACCATGTGGGAACACTACAGGGAGATGCGCAAAGCTCAGCTGGATCGCTCCGGCAGTGGGCGGGCTACGCTGCGAGGAGCCATTCAGGCTTGGTGACATTGGATGCAGTTCCATCGCATGCATCGGCAGGTACAGAGACACAGTCGTCGTTTACGACGACAGCGGTTCGAAAGGCTCCTGGCTGAGGCGCAGGCCCATGAACGCTCGGGTTGCAGTTCAGCGATCTTCGATTTATTGCGTAGGCATGCACCGAAGCAAGCCCGTCGACGTGCCCAACTGCGAGACGTGAGTGGCAAGCTCATGACTCCAGCAGAAGAAGCACAGGTACTGCTCACCTTTTGGCAAAGTGTCAATGGTGGAACCAGGCCCAGTGGAGACGAGCCCAACAGCTACACGTTCCATATCACATGCGGGGAGCTCAGAGATGCTCTTCGGCGGTTACAGGGTAACAAAGCAGCTCCCAAACATTGTGCTCCACACGTGTTCTGGAGCATGGCTTCGGAGCACATTGCCACGTTCATGAGCGAGCAGGTGTTCCATGATTGGCAGCAGGGCGGAGCTCGTGTCCCTCAGGACTGGGCTTCGGCATGGCTGGTGTTCCTAGGAAAAGTGGGCAAAATCGGGGACTCTCCCGCACATCTCAGGCCCATAGCGCTGCTCGAGCCCATGGGCAAAGCGGTTGCCGGCATCTTGAAGGATCGTTTGATGCCGTTTGTACAACCCTGGACTGCACAGCAGCACCTGCATGTTCTCCTCTTCAGGCTCTCTGTGTGGTCTTCGCACACTGTCGCGAAGTTAGGGCGGCCGCGCAGGCGCAAGGTCGCTCGCTTTACGATCTACGAGCAGGACACAAACGAGGCTCATGCGCTGGTGGTCTACAGCTCAGTATCAATTGTACCCAAGCAGTCGACAGAATCAGCCGCGACCTACTGCAGCGAGCACTGGAGATGATGGAGGTTCCAGCCGATTTAATCGGCATCATCATGCAGTGGGTCCATTCCACCAAGTTCCACATAGGCGGACATCCAGATGAAGTACAATATGGCTCCGACAAGGGCATTAGGCAGGGATGCAAGCTCTCGCCGACTCTCTGGGTCTGCATCTCGGTATACTTGCTTAGACACATGGACAACACCTTGGGATTGAATTGGTGCCAGCAGCACGGAGTAGGATTCGCGGACGACTTGCACTTCAGGTGGAGGTTTGAGGACGTGGCTGGCATGCAGCTGGCACTCAAACAGGCGGGCACAGTCTTGCAACTCCTTACTGCCTGCGGGCTCATAATCAGCAAGGAGAAAACCGTTTGCCTGCTAAGAGCAGATGGGGTTCAGGCACCGAATGCCATCAAGAAGGTGGTGCGCAAGACCAAGCAAGGCAAGCTGCTCAAACTCGACATGAACTGGGAATTGCCGCTCAAGAAGTCGCATATCTATCTAGGGGCCTGCATCTCCTACGAGAACTTCGAGTCACAGAACATGCAGCATCGACTTCAGGCATGCCGTGCAGCTTTCAGCAGATTACGTACCACGCTCATGGCGCACAGGGCCCTCAACATGCACCGACGGCTGCAACTGTGGAAGGCAACAGTGGTGACCTCAGCTATGTACTCACTTTTGGCCTCGGGTTTTAGTGCAAAGACGCTGGATCAGTTTCGGGTTGTGCTCACGCGGCAAGCCCGCGCCATTGCTCGCAGCCCAGTTCACTTGGACCTAGAGAACAATGATAAGTTCTGGCGGCGGATAGGCATCATGGCGCCAGTGGACATGATCCTGCAACGGCTCGAACGAGCCGTCACCGTCACCAACACCTTGAAGGCCAAACTGAAGGAACATGATGCCAGGGTATCCAGTACCATTCTTGATCACGAACAGACCGTTCTTGCTCAGACCCGGGAGATATTGACCGAGGCCCAAAAGGTCGCAGGCAACGCTGAAGACAGTCTGACACATGTGTGTCAGGAGTGCGGCGCTAAGTTTGGCACATGGGCAGCGCTGCGTGCACACGCGGGCAAGCTTCACAGTCAGGCCCGAAGACAGGAAGCCAAAGAGCAAACGCCCGACTTTGACCAGCAGCGGCGCGGGAAGGACGGAATGCCCATCTGCTCGCAATGCAATCATCGCTTCCCACGGTGGGCAGACATCCGCAAACACATTGAGGGCGGCCACTGTCAGGCAGCATCCACCATCGCGCCGGAGCCGGCATCGGGCACAGATAAAGACTCGGTCATGCAAATGGTCAGGGCAGGGCAGCTCGATGTGCAAAACTTGCGAGTGGAGGCCGTCACGGCTGATCTGCGCACGGAGCTCATGCAGCATTGTGCACTTTGCAGGCAGTGGCACCACGACCATAAGTATCTTAAGAGACATTGGCAGCGCTCGCACACAGAAGAATGGGAGACCCATTCAGCTCCTACATTTCAGTGGCGCAGGCAGCACATCGATAAAATCAAGGTGATGTGTGAGTGGTGTGGAGCGCAGGTCCCGAGCAAAGCGGAGCACAGGGACACTTGCCCAGTCTTGTTTCAGCTCTCCATGATCAGGTCCATCCACGTGAACCGCGAGCACAATGTACCCAGCCAAGCCAGTGCGCCTGACATTCCTTTTCCTGCAGAGGCAGAGATCAAAAGATGGCACGGAGCTTGTCAGTTGTGCGGACTTACATGCACATCACGATCTTTGCAGAAACACTTTGAGACGGTGCATGCTGAGTCCTGGAGCATGTTGGGGCCGCGGGTCAAACAGCTGTGTAGTCAGTGGACAAGTGGTCTGGGCAGTAAATGTCAATTCTGTCTAGGTGGCTACGGCAAGAAGATCAAACATGCCAACAGCTGCTCTGAACTCCTACAGAATGCGTTGTACAGTGTAAACCGGCATCGACTAACACACGAAGCGGGAGCCACATTGACCGACCATCATGACGGAGGAGTTGACCACAGCGGCCATGCAGTTCCAGGAAGTGTTCGGTCCGGTGTTGGGGAAGCGGTTGCTGCAGGAGGAGCCGAAGGAACAGGACAGACCGAGCAAGCAGAACAAACCGGCCAACAGGGGACCCAAAGGCAAAGGAAAGGGCAAAGGAGGGGGAAAGCAGTTGCGACGGCCACAGCACCAGCACCAGCCCAGCAGCTGGAACAATGGGTATACGGCGGGGACATGGACTGGCTCGTGGACGCCATCCAATTGATGGCCAGGATGATGGTGAGACAGGAGGATGTCCTGCACGTCCTCAGGCAGTCGACCGGATGGGTGTGGTGGCTGAGCATCTCCACACCAACCATAGTCCCGGATCTTTTTCAGGCGGCGCAGGTGTGGCGGAAGGAGGTGTCCCAACCCGACAGCAAGATGGCCAACACCAGATCGGCGCTCTTCTGGTGTCTGCTGCACCAGCTGGCGGCGACACGCAGAAAATCAGCAGCTCATGGTGGACGAAACAAAGCCGGGCATGACCACACAGGAAGTCGTCCATCTGCTGAACGACATGCAGGGCTTGGTGAGCGGCGACACAGTATCGCGCTTTCACTCAACGAGGCCACTAGTGGAACAGATGTCGGGGCATCTTGAAGTGCCGGATGACTTGACCGATGTGATTCTCAGGTGGACCCAGAATACGGTTTTTCACATTGACAAGGCCGACGAGTCTGAGCAGTATCATTCTAGTACTGGCATCCGCCAGGGATGCAAGTTGTCCCCTACATTGTGGTGTTGTCTGTACACCCATGTGCTACATGTTCTTGACCAACAACTTGGTGCGGAGTGGAGCTTAGAGCACCTGCTGGGATTCGCGGATGACACACACCTGCGATGGGAGTTTCAGGATCGAGAAGGCCTGCTCAAGGCCCGTGTTGAGGCAGGACGCGCACTCAGCATTCTTGAGGACCTCGGTTTCTGCATTAGTCGGGATAAAACAGTATGCCTGCTCAAGGCGGAGGGTGTCCAAGTTCCACACCTGATGCGCAAAATCACGCGCAAACGCCTGCAGCCCAAAGGCACTCTGCTGGTTCTCGATGAGAGATGGACGTTACCGCTCAAGCGCGACCACATCTACTTAGGAGCCGTGATCTCATATGGCAACTACGAGATGCTCAATGCACAACATCGCAGACATGCAGGACAAGCGGCCTTTTCACGCATGCGCACTACGCTTATGTCGCACCGTGCTCTCTCCCTCGACAAGAGGCTGCATCTGTGGCGTACCATTGTCCTGCCGGCCACTCTGTATTCCTTGTCTTCTTCAGGATACACCAGGAAATCCTTTGATCTCACCCGGGTCCTGATGGTCAGGCCGATTCGTGCCATTGCCCGCAGTCCGAGACACCTCACTGAGGAGAATGATCTGCATCTACTACAACGCCTACGGCTGCCTCAAATACATGAGATGCTGCTTCAGGTTCACAGTCGAGTCGTTGAGGCTTCCACTTCTTTGCGCCAGATCCTTAGTCCACAAGATGTACGTCTCACGCAGGATATCGTCCAGCGTGAATGTCGGCTCCTTGAGGTTTTCAAGCAACTTGTTGCTACGGATGCAAAGGCTGCTGGCACGCCGAACAGGCTCACGTGTGAGCACTGCGGGCAATCCTTTGACAATGATGCAGCCCTGCGGCAACACAAAGGTCGTATGCACAGCAAGACCAGAATGGAGGCGGCACCCACGGTGTTCGACAGGCAACAACATGGCACTGACGGCATGCCACGTTGCCGTGGATGCGGGCATCCCTTCGCTAGGTGGGCGGACCTTCAGAAGCACATCGAGGAGAACCACTGCCAAGGCAAAATCCAGGAGGAAGCGCCCGCCCCTGAAGAGCGGTCCTCCGTTCTGCAACAGGCTCGTGCTGGTGCGCTACATGTACAATCGCTCACTCTGTCCATGCTGACGGAAGAGCTTAGGCTGGAGCTGCTCTCACATTGTGCGTGTTGTAGACAGTGGATGCCCAACTCCAGATACGTCAAGATGCACTGGAATCGAGTGCACAAAGCTGAATCCCAACAGTCTCAGGCTCGTACACTTCAGTGGCGTCGTCTTTCTTTTGAGCCCATCAAAAACACCTGTCCTTGGTGTCAGGGAACAACTGCGGAACGCTCGGATCATCGGGACACTTGTCCGGTCCTCTTTCAGCTCAGTATGGTTCGGGCCATCATCCTGTGCACAGACGAGGCTGAATCTCCGGGGGCTGAGACAATGATGCCGGACATGACTATTCCAGCAAAGGACGACATACCGTCTTGGAACTTGGAGTGTATGCTGTGTCGCGAGTCGTGCACTGCCAGAGGGTTGCGCAAACATTTCGATCAGAAGCACCACGCGGTTTGGAATCAGGCTCAACCTAAAGTGGACTTGCTTTGCGCGGCTTGGGCAAAGGGACTTGAAACCAAATGTCAGTTTTGCAACAGTACCTACAACAAGCGCAATCGACATGCCATCACTTGTCCTGCTGTTACACAGACTGCCCTGGCGCGCGTGTTGAGCCATACCTCAGCCCCGGCAACGAGTGCACCACCGACGGATGGCGACTGCAATGACACCCGGAGCAGCACAGGCGGAGATTCAAGAGGTGTTCGGAGCCCTGGTTGCGGAGAGCGGGCTGCTGATGGGCATCGGCGCGGGCTCAAACCTGGGCAAGCGAAACTCGGAGAATCCGCAGGGACCCACAACGAGCCGACCAGCCAAAACGGGCCGCCTCAACAACGGCCAAAAGGGCGGGCGAGGCAAAGGAGGGCGACCGTGGCATCCGCAGAGCAGACGATTTGTTTCCGAGTCCAGCCACCAGCAGCAGCAGCAGGAGGAGGTGAGCATGGAGGACCTGTTGAGGCTCCTGTCTTCGATCATCATGCGACACGAAGACCAGTTGAAGATTCTGAGGCAATCAACGGGATGGGTGTTGTTCGCCAAAACAGCATCCCCGTCCATTGTACCGGGGATCATCAAAGCCTCCCTCAAGTGGAAGGACGAGGTGGTCAAGCCGGACTGCAAGTTCGCACATGTGAGCTTGCGCGCAATCCTCTTCTGGAATCTGGTGGAGCAGATGTTAGCAGTGCTACAGGGTCTTACGCAGGACATGAAGGACAAGGCTGTGGAAGAGGGGTGGATGAACAGAGCGGGAGCATGGGTGTTTCAGGAGTGGTCGCACGAGAAGCACTGCCTACAGGTCGACAGCACACGGGACCCAACGACGACGGAGGATCTCCTCAACATCCTACGAGAGCTGAAGACGCTCGCGACCTCGGAGGTGATCTCGGCCTTCTTTTCGAATCGACCGCTGACGGAACACATGCAAGGGCACATGGTAGTGTTCCAGCTGGATGTGTCGTTCAGAAAGGAGGTGGCGCATCGCTTCTATGTGTTGTTGGAAGCTCTTCAAGGACAGGCCGCCCTTCAACTGTGCGGTGTACAACTACGCAAAGAGGGCTTTCGGAGATCGCCGGCGGTGCAGAAGCTGGCAGAGCTGCTTCGATGAGGACGCTCAGCCTGAGCAACCCTTCCAATTACTGCTACATGAACTCAGTGATGCGGAGCTTATTATGGACCATTGTGCAGGATCCTACGCTTGACGGCTCCTTCGGCAGTGCCGGGCTCACCTTTCTTAAGAAACTACTGCAACACAAACAACAACCCGTGTTCATTGCAGGTCAGCCGATGTTCAACTTCGCTCTCCGCGGATGGAGGTCACCGGCAATACAACACGATTGTGCAGAGTTCTTTTCACACATCATTGACCGCTTGAGCATCACAGCATTTGAAGGTGAGTGGGAAGCACGTACAACGGTTGAGGACTCTCCGGGACAGTTTCGATGTGAGTGCTCTGATGCTGGTCAGTGCACGGAGGCGATATCAATCGACCTACCCGAGGGGCGAGTGCATACTGCTCAGTATCTCCTACATTGCTGGCACACGCAAGCTCATCCGCATGCCTTGAAGGTCGCACCGGCTCTTTTGCTGCTGCGCTTTTCTCGATATGTACAGGCGGGCCGAAGGATCAGAAAACGTGCTTGTAAGATTACTTGGCCACGGCAGCTTCACCTGCCGCTTTTCAGGGGGAACGATGATCTTACATCAGGCACGATCGCCTGCGATGTGCTGGCAGCTATTTCACATCATGGTCCCACTCTGAGTGCGGGACATTATACAACTTTGCTCCATGCTGCAGGGGGCGACCTTCATTGCGATGACAATACCGTTCCAGAGTTCAGGGTTAAGACCCCAGATGACACTACCCCATACTCGTCCAGTACGGTTTATCTTTTGTTGTGCAGGCGCACAACGGAGTCCGGCCCTTTGATGGTCGGGTGAATGCGCTCTTCTTCGTTTCGGGGAACCACAACTATGCCAGCACAGGTCACTCCTGGGGAGACGTGAGTGAGGGTCAACCTGTTGTGGAATGTTTTCACAGGGATATCTGCTCTCAGTGCAAAATCAGTGGAGCTTGCTAATGCTTTCAGTGCGTCCGTGCAACAACGTGCCTCTTGATTCTACACGATGTACAGTTGGGCATGCCCGCCGGTGCACTCCAGTTCCAGCCTTCTTTTGTTTTGCGCCTGCATGAACATACAACTGATGCGTTCCTTCACGGTCCACACAACACTTTTTCATTATCGGATACTTGGGCATGCGCTGGTTTTCTACACATGTCGGGCACACATGATCCGGATGCTGCCATCCATGCACCCTGGTTTGTGGAGGGACGCTTTGATGTGCATCTCTATTATCATGATTGGCCGGATCCCTACGAGCCCACTTCGCCGACGGTGATTGACTCCGATGTTCAGTCCAGCTCTTCTGCACGCACGGTGGAGTATATTCGGGATGACAATGTTGCTGATGGGCCACCCTTGCTGCGCTTATCATTCTATGTAGGTACCCCAAGTCTGCAACTGATCGAGCCTGACCCAAGTCACACCACGGAGTGTATGGCCAGGCACTTTCTACGTGTTGGCAGCTTCTTTGAGGATCAACTATCATCGTTGTGGGACCTACTTCCGCATGACAGCCCGCGTGGACATCAAACATTTTTCGACGGAGGCTCCACTGCTGCATTCTCGTTCACTACGGGTGCTTTTCAAGCTGGCGGACTGGTCGGCGTACGCAGCAACGCGCTTCAGATGCCATGGGTCACTGCATTGCTTTGTCGTATTGTGCACTCTGTATTGCTTGGCGAGGGTGCTGAGGATCATCACTTCACTTCGCTTTCGCTTTTGAGGAATGTGCATTCTGGCATACATAGAGATGGCAACAATCATCCTTCCTGCAACAGCTTGCTTATCCCATTGAGCCGCTTCTCTGGTGGTGAATTATGGTGCTACAATGCTGCTTCAGGGGACGTTTGTTATCCTGGTACTGATTTGCCGGGGCTGGCTCACGCAGTGACTCCACCTTTTCTGGAGTTCGACTCACACGAGCTGCATGGTACTCTTCACTGGACTGGTATTCGTGTGGTACTCGCGGTGTATCACATGAAAACTCCGGATGCCTTGAGTGACGGCGAGATGCAATTCCTACGGCAGGTGGGTTTTCAGCCGTTGCATTCCAGTGAGATGAGTGAGACCTCGATGCGGTAGACTGTGAGCCGTAACTCTAGTGTGCTGCGCTGGGTTGTAGTTCTGCAGTGCTTGACTTGTGAAACTCCAGGCTGATGCCTTTCCTAGGTTCGCGTAGGTGCCGTGTTTTGTACAGTAGTCGAGACTTGGTAATGTTACACGTTGCCTGGTCCCCTTTTCGTAGTGTCTTCTGTAGCCTTACTGAACTTGTGTGTCGTGCACACGAGTGCAATCTTTTACGCTTTCTGTAGTTTGCTGCATGATCACATCGCTTTTGGGTGCTACACCGGGTGTGATCTGCTGTGTTGCTTTTGGTGCTTAGGCACGGACATGGCTGAGACCTTGAGTCTCCGGGCTGTAAGCCTGTTAGGCCTACTCTAGGCGACCTTCGGGACAGGACGCTGAGTGTGAAAAAAGCTTGGCTAACTTGTCGTGCACGTGTGCGGAAACCATCGACCCGCATTCAGTGAACATCATTGTAGCCGGGATCCTGAAGCGGTGCAGGTCGCTACGGAAGTCCGGGAGGGACGCACGCTTGCTCCTTCGTACAATAGATCTACGAAAAGCCTATAAGCAACTTCCTTTGTCGGAGCGTGCCTTGGGGGATGCTTATATATGTGTGCTTAACCCGAATACGGGTGAGCCTGAGCTCTACCAGAGCCAGGTCTTACCTTTCGGCGCAAAGCCCTCTGTACAAGGCTTTTGTCGTGCATCAGGGGCGATCTGGGCTGTAGGACAAGCCCTGCTCCACATCCACTGGTCCGTCTTCTTTGACGATTATGTGGTAGTGGCCTCGCCTGAGGAAAAGGGTCACCTTGATCTTGTGTTACGGTCGTACTTTGCCTTGGTCGGCTGGGAAACGTCCGATGAAAAGGACGCCGGGTTCAAAAGTGTGGCAAAAGCCTTAGGCGTAGAGTTTAGCCTGGGCGAGATCCACTTAGGTCTGCTTAGGGTGCAAAACACAGAGGCTAGGAAGCGCGAGCTTGTGTCCACCATCGAATCCATCGTGCAGCAAGGTGGAGCGCATGCCAAAGAGCTTGAGTGCTTGCGGGGCCGTCTTCAGTTCGCTGAGTCGCAGGTGTTTGGTCGGGGTGCGGCCCAACGCATGCGAGCTATATCAAAAGCAATGAAGCTTTCAGGTTTTGTGGCCCTTGACGACTCCTTGACCGAGGCCCTGCTTTTCTTGAAAGATCGAGTTTTGCACGGGGAAGCAAGGATCATCAGGGCTTGTGATCGTCCCACCTACCACTTGTTCACGGACGCTTCCTATGAAGCGGATATGCCGGCCGGTCTAGGGGGCATCCTTTATAGTGATGGGGGTTTGCTTCTTAGGTGGTACTCTGAGTCTGCCGACACGGACGTTTTAGAGGCCATAAACAAAGAGGGCAAACAAGGTCTGATCTATGAGTTGGAAGCTTGTGCCGCTGTGCAAGGCGTGGTGCAGCTCTGCAGTTCCTTGAATGACTGCAACCTCATTTGCTATGACAATGAGGCCGCCCTCGCGGCCCTCATCAAATGTGCTTCTGAATCCCCGGTGGTAGCATCGCAGCTCAACAAGCTCAGCATGCTTGAAGATGAGAAAGGAATCAGCATATGGTTTGAAAGAGTGGAGTCGTCTGCAAACCCGGCCGACGATCCTTCGCGCTTTGTGCTTAGCAAGCTTCCTGTTAACTTCAGAGTCCGTTGGATCCCAGGCGAAGAGCTGTTGTTCTAGCGGCATCTGATCTTGAATGAGGAGTGGCATCAGTTGCCTTTTTGCTTGCTGGAAGTTTTCACTTGCAGGAGAATGCCGGAAATCTCGATGCGGGACAATCTTAGCTTTGCCATTTTCCGAACATCGGCCACGAATGTGGAGCCGGAATCATTATCAGTCTGCACCCCTCGCTCTAAAAAGAAATAGTGCCGTGCGAGTGTTTCAGTCCGTGAGTGCAGTTGTGATTACAGTCATGTACATGTGCTTCATGCTTTGTAGTGCGCTTGGCTTGAAAACATAACCAAATAAGAACAAACTCTCCGGAAGGGGGATGTTGTACCTCGTGACGAGGAACGAGTTACGACTATGTGTGCTAGCTAACCTATTACTACTCGAAGCTATCGAAGGTAGCTTCGCTAGAAACGAAGTTTCGTTCGCTATCGTCGCTCGCAGGAGAGTTGCCTCTGACATGCGAAGACAGGATAGCTGTGACTTGGAATGGCTACGACGGTGTGTGACCGTGGCCATTCTGGATAAAGTCCCCCATCAGGGGGGGTAATTTTGAAGTAGTGGGGGATAGAAGGGGAACTTGGCTATTTAGCCAAGCGAGAATGGCCTCCCCGCGCTCCCCTTCTGCTTCGCGGACGGCTAGCCCACAGTCTCCGGCTACTACGGTGATTCCGGCTAGTCCTGGGGGCGAGGAGCCAGGGAGTCCAACCGTCTTGCCCACGGCTGAGCCGGAAGAGCAGGGCGTCGGACCGGCTACTCCCTCCGGAGGGATAGGGAGCCCCATCGGACTTCCGTCCTTGTTGGATAGCGCTCTTGTGCAGAAGCGTGCGGTGCTGGATAGATGCCATGAGCATCTGGCGTCGCGGGGCTTCGGTGTGCTCGAGCTGGCTACCCTCGGTCTAGAGGACGCGGAAGATATTGGGCACCAAGTGGCTGAGGAGCTGGGCGTTGGCTACGACGAGTACATCGGCGACTCGATCTACCTGTGGATACAAGAGGCCCAGGAAGCTCGAGACCTGGTGGAGAGATCGTCGGGATACAGGGCGACTTCGCTAGCTTGGGTTAACCTCAGCAAGCGGCCGGCGATCGAAGGTATCGACCTTCAGGAGGATAGCGAGCCGGAGCCCCCGAAAGGGGATAGGCAGAAGCGCTTGGTCAACGAGGGCTCCCTGGCGCAGGCTAGGGAAGAGAGGCTACAAGCAACCTGGGCTATAAAGCTCAAGGAAGAGCTAGAATTGTGCGAGGCGCCGGTGCTGAAGAAGCTACAGGGGGGCCTGGACCCGGATAGAGCAGTTCTGGCGCTAGCGGGGAAAACCCGGGCTAGCACTCTCAAGCGCTACGTCTCGATACACGTGAGATGGCGGCTATGGCTACAGGAGGCTAAGAGTGGACGCCCCCCTGGGCTACCGGCCGACCTGGCCGACTACATCATAGCTAGGGGCGACGAGCCCTGCGGGCGAACGGTCCCCGAGGCGATCCTCAAGGCCATCAGCTGGATAGAGAGGGTCGCGGAATGGGCGACCGAGTCGAGAGGATAGCGTGGGCGATCAAGGATACGGTCGTCGAGAGGCTATCCTGGAAGGCGCCCTGGACGAGACGCGCCCCCCGATATCCAGCAGCTATCCTGGATAGGTGGGCCTGGTCCTGGATGCAACTGTGGCCGTCGGCTGGAGAGCTTGGGCCTGGGCCAAGCTCCTAAAGGCTTGGGGCAGCTTGCGATGGTCGGACCTCCAGGCTATGGTCCCAAATGAGCTGGCTATGGTGGAAGGTCGGCTATCCACCATCCTGCGACGGACGAAAACCACCGGGGCTAACAGACGCGTACGGGAGCTACCTGTATGCATCTCGGAGAGAGCCTACTTCGAGGACCCTGGCTGGCTACTGGCGGGCTTCAACCTGCTAAAGAACCACGCGGGCTACCAGCGGGACTATCTCATGCCCAGGCTGGGCGAGAGAGGCGCCCTGGAGAAGATACCTACGCAGATGCGATGGTGGCTACAGCGGGGCTACTGGCTATGGTGGGGATCCCGACGGTGGCCCGAGGCTACTGGTCGGAACACAGTGAGAGAGCAGTGCTACCCACCGGGCTGAGCCTAAAGCCGATCCCGCCGGCAGATAGGGATATGCTAGGACGCTGGAAGCCCGAGGGCTCGGATACCTGCATCCGCTCCTATGGCGGAAGGGTCGCCCGACTCCAGGCTATCTATGCAGAGGCGGCTAGGGCTCGGGACCGAGAAGAGCAGCTAGATGAGAGGGAGATAGCTGGCGATCTTGGAGGCTGGCTTTTCCGGACCGGCAAGGCTAGCGAGCAGGAAGCTGAGAAGCTGTCGGGAGAGCTGCGACGAGAGTGGGCTAGCGAGCGCATCGTGGAGATGGTGGCTGGCCCGGGGATACCTGAAGAAGTCGTGGCGAGCGATCCTCCCGAAGATAGACCCCACTCCTCGGCTAGTGAGCCGGAGCTGGGGCCGGAACCCAACCGAGGCAGCTCCTTAAGAAGGCTAGGTGCACGAGCTATATCATAGTTGAGCTTCCAGGGAAGAAGTACAGGCTACACAAGGGGGGCCAGGCCGGGTGCTGGATGGGCCGCCGTAAGATATTTAAGAACTCCCAAGAGTTTTCGGCGAGGCCCGAACCCAACCAGTACACGCATGTCTGTAGGCTATGCTGGCCGAAAGGCCGAGGCGAAGAGCCCCCGTCTGGTGATAGCGACACCTCTCAGGCTAGCACCGGCGACCAGAAGCCGGAGCCGGGAGAGGAAGAAGATTTCGGAGAGGTCCCAGCAGCAGAGCTGCAGGGAGCACCGCCGGGGATAGTACCCCAGTTGCCGATAGCACCGTTACCGGCTATTCCGTTCGGCTGGGGACCGCCTTTTGCCTGAGGATAGAAACGCCGGGAAAGCAGCGGGGCTGGACAACGGGGGGGATACGTCCGGGGGGCCTCTCGGGATATACTCTTTCCTTCCCATCTCTCCGGGGGCGGTGGGCCCAGGGGGGAGAAAGAAAGGGAGAGAGGAGAGAGAGAGGAGAGAATCACGTTGTTGCACTTGCTGTCTTGTCTGCTGGCTAGGGCGTAGGCTGCGAGGTTCTTAGGCAGGCTAGGCTGCATGTGCACATGTCCGGCTGAGTGCGCTCATGTGGGCTAGGGCACGGCACAAATGCACATGATGCGGCTACTGTGGCTAGGGTGGAGTAACGGACCACCGGGCAGACCAGACTGAGTCGGCTAGCGTCCAGGCGCAACGGATAGAAGTGCTACGCCTCTTGGAGGATTGGCTAGAGACTGACCCGGCTAGCTTGGCCGAGCAGATCTACGATCGGCTAAGCCTGGATAAGCAGCACGAGCTTCTCCAGCTAGTGCGAAAGGCTAGAGACATGAGGCTAGCCGAGTGCCAGGAGGGCGCCAGCATACAGCCTGGCGGCCGGCTATCTGCCAGGCTACTCAGGTTCCAAGGGGCTAAGTCTTGGGACGATATTTCTGCGGAGCTCGAGGCTAGCCTGTCCACCACCGAGGCGAGATACCTTGAGCAGAGGATAGAGAAGAATCGGCAGCTGGCCGGGCTACGACCACACCGGCCAGGGGAGACCCTGGAGGAGGAGAGCGTCACGGATAACGAGCTGGAGGCTACACCGTGGCAGTGGGAGGTCCCGGAGGCTAGCCAGTCTAGCGCCGGGCCGCCACCCGAACGGCTAGACATGCTACAGGAGATGATGGCTAAGCTCAAGGAGCTAGAGGCGGAGGTCCGCGGCACGGCTACCCCTGTTGCTAGGCAAGAGGAGCCGTGCTCTCGGGCAGAGGAGGCCGGCACGGGGGATAGCACAGCGGCGAGGCCCAAGAAGCCGGCTAGGGACCCACCGACGGTCCAAGAGTCCAAGGCTAAGAACAAGCAGCGGCAGGAGAGAGCCGCGGATAAAGAAGAAACGGCTACCACCCTGCCGTTCTCGGCTGGGCTAGATCCGGCCCAGGTCGTCAATCCGGGCCCGGGGCTACAGCAGGCTAGGGCAGCCGCGGCGGAGGCCATGGCTACACCGCTGAGGGCTAGCACAGAATACCCCGCCCAGGGCGAGAGCCTGAAGCAGTTTCTGGCCCGCCTTCGGACGTCCCGGCCTATGTGGCTAGGATGGAGGAGATATACCGGATAGGCACCTTTCAGGACAATCCGGATGGCGACCAGGATAGGCAGCCGCAGCGGCGGCCAGCCAAGGGCGAGCCTGGATACGATCCCTTTCCGCCCTTGAGGCCGCAGGCTAAGAGCACCACCAAAGGGCGAGGTGGGGATAGCAACCTTGGCTACATCCACCCGGATAGCAGCCACCCGCTGCATAGAAGGCTAGGAGCGGGCCGATACAACGAGGCCCAGTGGGAGGCTATGGCCGGAGACGGCCGGATAGCTCCGGAGAGGCCCGCGCTCCAGCTGGGGGCGGTGGTAAACATCAAGCTGGATAGGCCCACCGACCGGCTACTTCGCGAGGAGCCCGAAGTCGTGCACCGGCTAATGGCGCCCCCGCCAGTGGCTAGCCAAGCCAAGGGGCGACCACTCAGCCCGGATAGCGGCATGATAGATCAGACCTGGCTATACATCGCTAGGGCCGAGTGGCCCCTGGCGAGCTACGAGAAGGGCGGCCGCCAGGATAGAAGGCTATCGCAGCTGTCGGATAGAGGTCGCGATATCAGCGGCAAGGGGGCGATACACGACCCCAACTGGCTATACAAGCTAGAGGATGAGGACTTCATCGCGGTTAGCAACCTGTCGGCTAGTGCAAAAGAGCTAGTGGAGATGATCCCGGAACAGGGATGGATAAAGTGCAGGCCCCGAGGGGCCACCCCTGGGGTAGGCCGATGGGAGCCTGCCGGGGCTATCTTCAGATGTATAGTGGTCTGTGATGGCTGCCGGGTAGAGCAGTGCAACAAAAGGATGTGGTACTGCCTGGATACGCATGGGGATAGAGGCCATACGTGCAATAGCTGCCGGCCCCCGGCTAAGGGATCTGGCAGGGGCCGAAAAGGCCCGGGCT